GGAGGTCAGAGAAAAATTTTTGGTGGTTGTTTCTCTCCTTCCACCTCACTGAGGCAGACAGGAGCTTTCTGGTTTCTGCTTGGCTATTTATTCCACACTAGCTGACAGTTTCCAGGTGATCCTCCTCTTACCTCCATTTAGCAGTGCTGGGATTAGCAATATGCACCACTACACCAGCTTTTAACTTGGGTTCTAGGGATGGGACTTGGGAGTTGGGCTTGTGTGGCAAGCCTTTTTATCCAGAGTCATCTCACCAGCCTCTCACTGTGGTCAGAGGATTGGCAAGACTGACAGATCACCAGTACTCAGGGGTTCCCACCTCCTTTCAGCCATCTCTGGCAGACGAAATATTTGTTTAGTCCTGAGATTACGTCCTCATTGACACTAGCAGAGACGACAGTGGCTCTTGTGTTCATTATTGGAGAAGTTGTCGAAGGCACAAGGATGGAGGCATAATGCATGGGGACCCCGGAGCAAAGGCCCAGATTTCTCTCCAGTGAGAAAGTGATGACTCCCTCTCTAAGCAACCACATTTGTAACTGCTCTCATTTGTAAGATCTCAAGTACAAGGCCTTTAGTGAATTTATCTTATCCTTTAATTCAACTAACTTCATTCTTGTTTCCTTACTTAGAATTTGCCTGCTTTTAAATTTTACTTCAAAATGTATTTTGTGTATATAGGTGTTTTGCTTGTATGTTTGTCTGTGTACCACATGTATGCTTGGTGCCTGCAGTGGTCATAAGATGTAGGATCTCCTGGGACTGGAGATAAAGACAGTTGGGAGCCATCACATGGATGTTAGGATCAAACCTGGGTCAGATGCCGAGAAGCCACAGAGCCATCTCTTTACCTCCCAACTTGCCTACTTTACAGTTATCTTCAAATGAAGGAGAATTTTTAATCAGAAAGGGGAAACTACAGCATTGGGAGTCAGAATGGTAATCTCCTTGGGTGGGGGGCCAGGGACCAGAAGGAACATTTGGAATTATGGAATACTGATTAATCCTTTCTTCAGCTGGAGTTTGCCACACTGGTGTGTTCACCATGATGTCCTAAACTAAGGCCTTACTTTATATAGCTCTTTGTAACACAATAATGTGTTACAAACGAGGCCTTTTCCCTTTAACCCTCACGTTTAAGGTCACCTTTTACATGGGAAATCCAATCTGAGGTTGAACAAGTGAAAGAATTAGGCCAGAATTCCCAGGCCAACTTTCCCATCACACTATGCCTTTTGTCACTTCCGATTTTATGCTGTCTTCACCAGGCTCAGTCACTAAATCTGAGCTAGTGAGTACATGTAGAGGGGACAAGACTTCCTGGAAGAGGCCTTGAGCAGCATCCTGGGCTAAGCCAGCATGGGATGCCTTTGGTGGAGGCAAGGGACTGAACTGAGATCCCAGGCCCTCCCCTCCCCTGGCTCCACCTATAACTGCTCTTCCTCTGAGACCTATGCAATTTCTTGTAGGCCTTTCTCCTTTACAAGTCAGTTTCAAGAAAAACACCTGCAAAAGACAAAATTCTCCAGCTCATCAGTTTTGTCCTTACTTGCAATAGTCACTTTCAAGCCTCCAAAGGAGATAATACATAGAGCAACTGACTAGCAGGAGAAAAGGGCTCCTAAACCGAAACAGATGGCTCTGGAGGTCAGCCAGCAAACCCAACTGAGCTGAGCCAGCCCCTCCTCCCTTCAGGGCTGGGGATTTATTATGACTGGAAGAACCACAGAAATATTGCCCATCCCCACCAGTATTCAAGTTATGGTTGGGGTTGAAAGGCCCTAGTTGGCTGCACATGCAGGCAAGCCATGAGTTCACCAACAACTTTTTTGCAAGCAAACGTGGGAAAGGCTTGCAAGGCCAATTTTTATGCACATATGGAAAGAACTTCAATTCTGTGTCATAATGTAAAAATAATGTATGACAGTGCCCAGGAGGCAGGTCATCAGACCACAGTCTACAATATTAGCTCTAGGCCTCAGCATTTCCCCTTAGCCACTGCTTCCCAGCAGGGAACTGGGCACACTCCAATGCCCCTCCATAGCTAAAATCCAAACTCTGAAGCAGCTATCAACTGTGTTCCTGGAGAAACTGCACAGGCAGATGTGGGGAGGAGGGGTAGGGGGTGGGATTGGTGGTGGCCTTCCCCTTCTCAGGGCAACTGAACAATTATAGAGGGCATCCACAATCAGGCAGAAAGGGCTAGAAGATGGCTTAGCAAAGGATCTGAGTTTTTTTTTTTTTTTCTTTTAAATGATTAGGGATTAGCTCATAAATACTAAATATCTCAGACATGGTGGTTCATGCTTTTAATCTCAGCAGAGGCCAGCCTGATCTACACAGTGTATTCCAGGCCAGCCAGAGCTGCACTGTGAGACCCAGTCTCAAAAGTAACAAAAACAATTGTCTTTAGATTTATCAACGTATGTGCAGCATATGAATGCCTGGTGCCAGAGAAAGCGAGATGATAGTGGTAAATCTCCTTGAAATTGAGTTACAGATGGTTGTGAGCGCACACGCACACACACACACACACACACACACACACACACACACACACGAGAGAGAGAGAGAGAGAGAGAGAGAGAGAGAGAGAACATGAGAGAGGGAACAATCAGGCAGAAAGTCATGACAGGCTCTTCACCAGAGGACAGCAGTGCTAAGAACACTGGTGTTAAATACATAAATGATTTAAAGGAGAAAATGGCAAATATGAGACACCAGAGAAAGACCACATCAGGCTAAAAGTACGAGCTGTTTCAGCCCTGTTTTCCCCTTTCGTTGTCTGTTGTGTGGCCTGAAGACACAAAAAGCCCCATGAATGCCCCAGCCTTTTAAACTGTGGGTTTTGAGCCTATACAAGGTCAGATAATTACACGTGAGGGTCACAAAAGCTTTCTGAAGGTTCAACAATCAAACGCTAATTTAGAATCAAAGGTATAATGAATCAAGGCCATTCTGGTAATGCTTACCTGTGATGCATTATGTAATGTCACTGCAGGCAGTCACAGCACACAACGCTGCCTCAAACACTTGAGCTTACTGTGTATTACCAACTGCAGTGTTTTGTTGTTTTCACACTGTTTATAGTTTCTGTTCTTACAGTGTGTTGGCTGATTTTGTATCAATCTGACACAGGCTAGAGTCATGAGAGGAGGGAACTTCAATTGAGACTGCTGCAGGTAGGCCTGTAGGGGATCTTCTTGATTAGTGATTGAGGGAGGGCCCAGTTTGTCTTAGGGTTTCTATTGCTGTGAAGAGACACCATGAGCACAGCAACTCTTATGAAGGAAAACATTTAATTGGGGCTAGTTTACAGTTCAGAGGTTTAGTCCATTATCATCTTGGCAGGACACATGACAGCGTGTAGGCAGACATGGTGCTGGAGGAGCTGAGAGTTCTACATCTTGATCCACAGGCAGCAGGAGTGGACTGTGTTCCACATAGGACTTAGTTTGAGACTTCAAAGCCTGCCCCAACAGTGACACACTTCCTCCAACATGGTTACGTTTCCTAATAGTGCCATTCCCTACAGGCCAACCATTCACACACTGAGTTATACCCATTCAAACCACTATACAGCCCACTGTGGGCCGGGCTATCCCTGGGTTGGTCCTCAATTCTATAAGCAGGTTGAGAAAGCCATGGGAAACAAGTCAGTATGCAGCCCCTCTCCGTCAGCTCCTGTCTCCAGGTTCTTGTCTTGTTTGAGTTCCTTTCCTGACTTCCTTCAATGATGGACTATGGTTGTAGAAGCATAAATCCTTTCCTCCTTTGCTTTTGGTCATGATGTTTCATCATAGGGCAATAGCAACCCAAACTAAGACATCCAGAAACAATGGTTTAATTATGACAAGCAAAGACATTTTCCTACCATCACTCCTCATCATGTGAATACCAAATCAATGTATCTTTAAAACTATACTGTGAGAATGATTTTTAAAATTCTGTTTAAGGGAGCTGAAGAGATGGCTCGGTATTTAAAAGCACTGCTCTTCCAGAGGACCTAGGTTTGATTCCCAGCACACACACAGTGGATCAAGACACAACAGTCTATAACTCCAGTTCCAGGGGATCTGATACCCTCAGGCCTCCATGGGAACCAGACATGAATGCAGGATACAGACATACCTGCAGACAAAACATCTTATAAACAAAAACTTAAAAATTTATTATTTAAAGGGCCTAGTACTTAAGCATAAAGGCACAAGGACTTGAGGTCCAATCTCCAGCGTCTATATAAAAAAGTTGGGCATGGGCACATGACCCTATAAAACCAACAATGGGATACTGAGAGCCCAGTGACCAGCCAACTTAGCCAGATGACAAGCCCTGGGGTTAGCAAATGACTGCCTCTAGGATATAAGGTAGAGAGTAAAGAGAAAGATACCCACACCTACACACATATCAAACATACACATTTATCACACACACCTTTCTCTTACACTCACATATACATCACACATACACAATCATACACACACACCTCTATCACACACACAATCATACACATCTCTCACACTCACATATACATCGCACACATACACAATCATACACACACACCTCTATCACACACTCATACACACACACAATCATACACACCTCTCACACTCACATATACATCACACACACTCCAAAACAAACAAAAAATCCCAGTAAGTTGCTGATTTATATTTTCTTTCTCTTTATTATTTTGGTGGGGTGGGGTGGGTGGTGGGTAGAGACAAGGCGTCTCTGGATAGCCCTGGCTGTCCTGGAACTCACTCTGTAGACCTTGAATTTACGAGATCCACCTGCTGGGATTAAAGGCATATGCCACTACTACCTGGTGGTTTGTGTTTCTTTAAATGTCATTAAATTTTGGTTTAGGATTGAAGACAGAATTTCCAACAATTCCTAAGACACAAACATGCTTCTGCAATTTTGTACTACACATATTTATATAATCTTTTCAGCATTGATGATCACAAGCAAGTAGCAATCAACTATGAAAAAAAAACTGAAGATGCTCAATATCTTATTGTATTAAGTATTCAGCCAAGATTTAATCCTTGGCTTTTTGTTTAGGGGCAGGAGTCTCCTGTAGCCCAGCCTGGCCTCAATTGTACACACCTTTAATCCCAGCAATCAGGAGGCAGAGGGAGGTGGATCTCTGAGTTGAGGGCAGCTGGTCTACGGCAAGTTCCAGAACAGTCTGGACTACATAAAGAGACGCTGCCTACAAAAAAAAAAAAAAAAAAAAAAAAAAAAAGAAAAGGCTGAGTGGTAATGGTGCACACCTTTAATCACAGCACGTAGTTCTTAGCCACTTCTCAATCCACACTTGCCCTCTCAGATACGAACCAGCAACCAGCAAGTCGGCTGGATCCCACTGAAGACCCATAAAGATGGGTCACAACAGGTGTGGGGCTACCACAGATGGCCACAACAGAGGAGGCAGAAGAAGGTATATCTGTGAGTTTGAGGCCAGCCTGGTCTACAGATTGAGTTCTAGGACAGCCAGGGCTACACAGAGAAACCCTATGTAACAAAAAATTAAAACAATTAAAAAAAAAATCTTTATTAGCGTTGTGTGTTTACACATGGGTGCATGTGTCCCATGGTGCTCATATGGAGGCCAGAGAACAATCTGTGGGAGCCAGTTCTCTCCTTGTATAATGTGGGTTCCATGTATTGAACAGAGTCAGCAGGCTTGCTGGCAACTGCCTATTATCTGCTGAGCCATACCATTGGCTTTCAATGTGCTTATCTTTTTGTGTGTATTTACAAGCATGATGTGTGCACAGACATTCTTGTGTGTCAGGACACTGTGTGAGGTAGGACAACCTCTGGTATTGTACCATGTTATCTCTGTTGTTTGTGGTTGCACAACTGGCTAGCTGACCCTCAAACTTCTGGGAAATTTTGTTCCTACCTCACATTGCTAGGATTACTGATGCATGGTGCCATGACCAGTTTCATGCAGATTCTTGGGATTCAAATTAGGTCTTCACTTATATAACAAGCACCCCGTCTTCTTAGCTCCAACACTTAACTCTGTTTTCATCCCTGAGCTGCCACATGGGTACTGAGATTATGGGTGTGTGCCACCACACCTGGTTAATCAGTGATGGGGATGAGACCTAGGGTTTCATGCATGCTAGGCAAGCATTCTACCAACTGAACAGTCAGTCCCAACACAGGATTTAATTTTTTTTTTTTTTTTTGTTTTTCGAGACAGTGCCCTATAATCCTGGCTGTCCTGGAACTCTTTGTAGACCAGGCTGGCCTCCAAATCACAGAGATCCAACTGTCTCTGCCTCCTGAGTGCTGGGATCAAAGGTGTGTACCACTACACTTAAGATTTAATGATTTAATATTTTATATAAAAATAAACAAGCACACCCACCTGATTATTACGCAAATTTGCTTTTTTGTCTTTAATAAATGGTAAGGTCAAAGAATTGTCTTGATTTATTATCAAATGCTTGATTTGCACACTTAATTTGTGTATTTACACGCTTGGCTCCCTGCTTTCCTTTGTGGAGACTGAGATTTGTACAACACAACTAAACCACAAAACTTGACTTATAATCTTGTTTTCCTAGTATACAAATATACTCACTGTTCATCACTCATTTGTGCACATGTAGCAGTCAGAGAACAATTCTTAGGCATGGGTTCTCACCCTCTACCTTTCTGAGGCCAGGTCTTGTCTCTTCCCTGCTACTGTGGACTCTAGGCTGGTTGGTCCTGGAGCTTCCAGATGATTCTTACCTCTGCTTCTCTTGAGGTAGGAGTGCTGGGATTACAGATTCAAATTGCCAAACCGGGCTATTTTCTTTAATTTGGGTGTTTTGCCTGCATGTGTGTCTGTGCATCTGTAGAGGCCAGAAAAGGCATTCCATCCTCACTGATACCCTGGGACTAGAGTTACAGATGGTTGTGAGCTGCCATGTGGGTGCTGGAAATGGAACCCAGGTCCTCTGCAAGGGCAGCCATCTCTCTAGCACCCTGTCTTTTTTTCCTAGATAGATTCCTGGGGTCAGGCTTGCACAGCTAACACTTTACCTGCTGAGCCATCTCCTCACTTCTTAATACAAAACTTACAAATGTAATTTTAAAAATTCAGAATATAAAAATATATGAAGGAGTTTAAAACTCTTTTCTTCAAGTGAAGCAGAGTCAATGGTCAGTCAAGTCTGTGTTCTTTGGAGGTTTCCGGAATTTGCTCTGAAGGAAAACTCGAGGCACGCACAGGCCTTCTTTTCTGTTCACTGTTTCTCGAAACACATATTCTTTTGCCACTTCTTCATAGCCGGAATCCACAAAGAGCTTCGCCAGGAACTCTAGAAGGCAAGCAGTAGTGAGCTCTGAGGGCTGAGACGGGCCGCAGGCTTTTGTTGTCTTTTTCTATAATGAAGTCTTCAATGCTAAATTTCATTTCCCTTGTTTTTAAACTTTTCTCCTTTGATTTCTTCCCCCCTGGGGACAGAATTTTACATGTCTGGCTGGCCTGAAATTTTTAATGCTTTTGCCTCAGCCTCTTCAGTGCTGGGTATACAGGCCTGTGCTAGCTAGCATGCCAGGGTTTCTTTCTTTTCCTTCCTTCTTTCTTTTTTAAAAATACATTCCTACTTCTCATGGTCTTAAGATCCAAATAGAAACCTCCAATTAAAGCATCAACAAAGGTGTTCCTAACTTGGCTTGTTCATGTGTAAGCAAATACATATTCTGAGTAAAAACAACTCATTTACAGAAAGAAGAGTACCTGTGGCTAGAACGGGGAATCACCAGGTGGTGTGAGAACACGAGGATAATTTCACCCCAGCAAAACATCACACAGATGAAATGGAACAAACAAGGAGAATCAAGAGCACAGGTGGACTCAGGCCATCAGCACGGAGGCTGTGCTCTGGAGCTCTATGTAGGTACCAGGGGCTTCTTAATCACTTCTAATGGGTTAACCAACCAGATGTGGCCACTTCAGGGCACAAAGTCATCTTCATTTTCACCTGACATTGTACATTCAAGTGTAAACACTCATTTTTTAGTTTATATCTAAAATAACATTTCAAGAAATAGAAATGTAGGTTGTGTGGTATATACCTATGAGGCAAAGACAGAATTGTTGTAAGGTTAAGGACAGCCTGGGTTTCAGACTGAGATTTTGGTGGGGCATGACTTTAATTCCAGCACTCAGAGACCGGTGCATCTCAGTGAGTTCGAGGCCAGTCTGGTCTACAGAGCCAGTTCCAGGGCAGGCTCCAAAAGTACAGAGAAACCCTGTCTCAAAACAACAACAACAACAACAACAACAGGCAAAAAACAAAACAAACAAACAAAAAAACAAAACAAAAAGGAAAAAAACCAAAACCCAAACTCAAACCCAAAAGCAAAAGAAGTAGGTTTAGAAGTGGCAGAATACTGGCCTAGCATGCTTGAAGCTCTGGGTTCAAGTCTGAGCAGCACAAAAAAAGGAACTAACCCTCCACCCACAGAGCTAGAAGATGATGAAGGATCTTTCCATCCAGATTAGTAGGCACTTAAACCAATGTTTGAAACACTTAAAAACTGAAATTTTTTTCTGATCCAAAATGCCCTTTAAAGTATTTTCTTTTATTATCTTGTATGTGGGATGCTACTTATTCATGTGTGTGCATCTGTGTGCAATAGAATCAATGTTTCTTCTATTACGCTCTCCACTTAAAAAGATGTTCACCCATCTTTTGTCTGTATGTGCACTACATGCATGTATGGTTCCATAGTTGTCCAAAGAGCCTCTGGAAATGAAGTTACATACTTCATTTGTAGCCATGTGGCTGTTGGGATTTAAACCCAGGTCCTCTGGAAGAAGACAGTGCTCTTCACCACTAAGCACCTCCCCAGCCCAGCCCCCACTTTATTTTATTTTTCCTGAGACAGGGTCTCTCTTTTATAGCCCTGGCTGTCCTTGTCTACCTTACTTTTTGAGACAAGATTTCTCACCAACCTGGCATTGCTAACAAAACTAGCTGACGAGTAGCTCCAGGGATCTTTACTGTCTCTTCCCAGCATCAGGATTACAGGGACATGCCACCACACCCGGCTTTTCACATGCTACAGCATGTGCTACAGCAAACACTGTACTGAGCTATCCCCTGCTACAACCATTAACTGAGACAGGGTCTCATGTAGCTCAGGAACTGCCGAGGGAGAGAATGACCTTAAACTATCATTTATTTTCTGTATATGAGTGTTTTGCCTATATGAAGTATGTGCACCATGTACACACCTGTTGCCCAAATGGGTCAGAGGAGGTGTTTGATCTCTATCCCAGGAAACTAGAGGTACAGAGGGAAACCACCATGTTGGTGGGGAAGTGAACCAGTTCTCAGGAATTACAGTAAGTGCTCCAAACTGCTGAATCATTTTTTCCAGTTGGATTTTTAAGTCTTGATCATCCTGCTTCTGCCTCTGGATTGCTGGGGTCTAAGTCCTGTGTGCAACCATACCAGTTTATGCAGTGTTGGGGACTGAACCCAGAATCTGACCCATGTGAGGACAGCACTCTATCAATTAAGCTACATTCTCAGTATTCTTTGATAGCAAATTTGTCTATTTGAAAACAGATCTAATCACTTTTATTCAAGAAGGATTTGTTTTTGGTCTGGGAAAGTAACCTCTGTCACCACACTGAGTTTAATGCTCTTCCTATTGGTATCACAAGACATATCTGAGGCCTGTCTACTTTCTCAGGCTTACTCACAAGCCACCATCAACAGAGGCCTTCAGGTTCCCCTATAGATGGTTTTTCTGTCCCATCTGGTTCTGCAGCCGTTCAGACAGAGAAACATACAGAGACTTATACTAACTATAGACTGTTTGACCTATTGCTCAGGCTTATCACTAACAAGCTCTTACAACTTAAATTAACCCATAACTCTTACCTGTGTTTAGCCACATGGCTTGGTACCTTTTCTCAGTGAGGCATTCTCACCTTGCTTCCCCTGTGTCTGGCTGACGACTCACTCTCTCTGCCTCCCTCTTCCCAGAATTCTCCTAGTCTATAGCCCTGCCTATACTTCCTGCCTGGCTACTGGCCAATCAGCATTTTATGAAACCAATATTGAGTGACAAATCTTTACAGTGAACAAGAAAATTATCCCACATCACTCCCCACAGGTAAGACCTGGGTCTGTGACTCAGCAGGCACTGGGAAAGTGGTTGCATTGGGGTTTGCTTGTGTTAGCACAGCCACATAGATGCCCAGCAGCACTCCACTGATGATGCCATCAAGTAAACAGAGGATGAAACACAAAGGAGACACTCCATCCCTCTTACCATCAGTAAAGAAATAGGATCTGGTTCCATCTTGTCTGACATAAAAATTTTCTCCAAGTTTGCTTCCAGCTTTAAATCTAAGCATAGCATGATCATGCAGCCCATAGTCACGGAACAAGACACTTCTGCCTGGTTTTAATACCTACAAAAGAGAAGCATACTGCATATAACTCAGAGGAACCCAGTCAAATAAAATACAATCTGATGACGCTAAGAATTAAAACACAGACCTGTGGTAGTTATGAAAGAAGGCATATAGAATACCTTTAATATGAATGGTTGTTTAAAAACAACATGTCAGGTGTAGTGGTACACACTTGTAATCTCAGCACTCATGAGGCTGAGGTAGGAGTATCATTCTGAGTTTGAGGCCAGTTTGGCCTACAAAGTGAGTACCTGGCCCACTAGGGCTACATAGCAAGAGGACCCTGTCTCCAAAAACCAAAAATAAATAAAATGCTATAGAAGTTATTTTTTGGTTGTAATGGATCATAGAGTTTTAAGCCCCATATAAGAGTAAGCACACATACTCTGCCTTCCACAAGGCATGAGCCATCTCCTTCATTAGATTGTTTCCAGCTATCTGCTTCTGACAACTTAGCTCTCAAGGGCTCCTGTGTGAGACGCCCTACTGGGTCCCAACACTGATCCCCCGCCCTCAAGTGCTGGGCTCTTCTCTTTGGATCAGGAAGTCTGCACCACGTGGGAAGAATAAGGAAAGCCACCTTTTCCTCAGAGCCTGCCTTCTGTGTGTGCTGTAGACAGTGTGCACACACCTACTCTACACCCCAAGGAATTTCCACAGACAGGTGTTCCACAGGCCCACACTACCTTGCTGAGCATAGTACATTTGTTTTAAAATGATAGATGCCACAGGTTTTGTCTCCTTTGGAAAAATGCATGTGGTACACTTGCATAGCCATACCCTCCTCAACCCTCTTTCTATTTTTTTGAGAGAGGGTTTTGTTGTATATACAGCCTTGGCTGGCCTGATAATTCATTACTATGTGACCCAGGCTGATCTTGAACTTACAGAAATTCTCCTGCCTTAGTTTCCTGGGTGCTGTGATGATAGGTGTTTGTCACCACACCAATAGTAAAGGAAATCATTTGAAAATGTCTGCAGTGTCTACATGAATGCTCCACTGCTGCTCCCCAAAGCAGTGACATCACTTACATTCTCAGCTTTAGCACTAGGAGGAAACAGGCTCAGAGAAAGGTGCCATAGCTTGTCTTGAATCATGTGACTTAATAGATAAAGCTTTTTTTTTTTTTTTTTTTTTTTTTTTTTTTTGTTCTTAGAGACACAGTGTAAAATAACCCAGGCTAGCTCCAAATTTTCTCTATAGATAATAATAATTTTGAACTCTCGACCTTCCTGAGGCTGAAGCTGTATGTCATCATGCTGTCTTATTTTCAGAAAGAGACTATAGCTCAGGCTGCTCTTGAACTCACAATGTAGGCTAGGCCAGCCTTGAACTCATGGCAATCCTCCTACCTCAGTCCCAAGTACTAGGATTATAGGCAAGTTATAGTAGCCTCCTGGTGTCCACAACAGTTCAGGATCTTGCCATCCTACTAAGATAAGAATATTGTTGGCACTAGTAATGTAACAATGGCTGGCTTTGAAGAACATTTAGCAGAGGGGAAGCACAGTGCTGGGCACATGCCACACTTATTTAATCTTCCTCAACTGCTACCATCTATCTCAGCTGCATTAGCCCAATATTTTTCAGGTACAGAACCAGGCTTGGAGCAGCAAAGGAACTTGTCCAGTAGTGAACCCAGCTTAGAATCTTGTGCTTCCCACTTAATTACATGTCCTCTTACCTTATGGATCCCCCAGGTTGCTGCAATGTCTTCCTTGCTCTGGGGCTGGCTGTGCTCTAAAGCGCAACCATGGCACTGCACAAACCTACAGCTACGCGGCTGCTTTATGCCAGAGAGTCCTCCCCCCCTGCTGGCTACAGTCTACCCACTGGAAATGGGAAGATGCTGGGAGTGTAGCACACAGGCCTTACAGAGGAGGAGTCAAGAGAGCTCACCCTCAGACATAGACATCAAATCACTCACCTTGTACACATTTAGTAAGACAAGGTGCATCTTCTCCGGGTGGACAGCTGAGAGCACAAAGATCAACATGACGACATCCACAGACTCTGGTGGGATGTGGTCAAGGAGGTCATCTTTAGTGAGGTCACACTGGAATACTTTGCATCTCTCTCTATTATATGAAGGATTTTGCTAGAAAGGGAAAAACCATAAAGAACTTAGTATTTTAATTAATCAGTCTGCCAATACAGGTATGAATATATAGCACATGTTTACTGCTATCTAGAATGGCCACTTGTTACTGGGGAAGTAATGTCTGATTCTGTATAGGGAGCAAGGCAGCATTTCATCAAACTTTTTTTTTGGTTTTGTTTTGTTTTGTTTTTTTGGGACAGGGTTTCTCTGTGTAGCTTTGACCAGGCTGGCCTCGAACCCACAGAGGTCTGACTGCCTCTGCCTCACGGGATTAAAGGCACACACAGCCACCACCTGGCTCAGCAAACTGTTTTTAACTGAGGGCAGAGAATAGTCTGTCACTTATTTAAAACCAAGCATTTCAGAGGCCTGTTTTTCCCAAAGGGTAATACAAAGTTGGCAGCTGCTTCCTAATCGTCAGTTGGTTATCCCTGACAAGCTTACATTCTATGAGAAGGTCTCCCATAGTTCTTATGTACCATATTTCCTAGAGATAAAAGACTAAAGATCCTAACCTACCTTTCTTTTTCCCATCCAAGTACTAACTAGGCTCGACCCTGATTAGCTTCCAAGATGAGATGAGATAGGGCATGTTCAGGGTGGTATGGCCGTAGACCCTCCCTTTCTTTCTAATAAGTATATTCCTGGCACATTTTGGTTGGTTGGTAGGTTCTAGCACATGTATCATACAGAATAAGCTTTTTTTTTTTTAATCGTGTAAATGGGGACCTGAATAAATTAATATGCAAGGTTACTGGGTGGGAATATTTAGTATTTAAAAATATTTATTTTTTAATTTATGTTTACCTATGTACATGTAAGCACAGGGGCTCTCAGAGGCCAGAAGACACTGAGTTTGAGTTACAGGCAGTTGTTAGCCACCAGATGTTGGTGCTGGGAATCAAACCCATGTCCTCTGTAGGGCAGAAAGCACTTAACTACTGAACTGTCTTTCCAGCTCTGCAATAGTCATTTCCCCCCCTCTGTAGTCCTGGCTGACCCCCCCCCCCAGAGATCCACTTGCCTCTGCCTCCCAGGTGCTGGGATCTAGGGTGTGTGCCACCACTGCCCAGCACAAAAGTCAGTTTTTAAAATGAGTAAACTACATGTTGAGAGTGACTGTCCTCTAAATCAAGCAACTACTATGCTGGGGGAGTTCAGCTGCGCACCCTTGCAAAAGGATTACCACAGCCAGGCTTGTTGATTGTGTACACCTGAGTATCCTGCTGCTCCCTACTTCAGGAGCATACTGCAAAGGAAGGGACCGTTCCATTAGGAGGCTACAGGAAAGCCCTCATCCCTGCTGGGTAAAAACTTTACAAGTGCAGTCTGTTGGGGGTGGAGCACTCACAGCCCTGTAAACAATCTCCCGCATATGCTCTGTAAGAAAGCCCAATAAACTCATTGGTTTCCAGAGTGAACTTTGTCCAACTGTGCTTTGATTTGTCATTGAGACCTTAGGAGAAGGGAGTGGCAGCTCTCACTTATGACTTCCCTATAAAGAAATTTTAGCAATAGAAGGAAATACACCAGACATCAAAACATACTACAAAATATAGTAATAAAACAATGTGGTTTGAGAATGGTGACAAACAGCTCACCAAGACAGAAGATTCCCAAATAGACCCATGTGTATACGTGAGAATTTAGCATTTTATGACAGGATAAAGATGACAATTACATGAAAAGGTTAATAATAATAACAATGAACACGCCAATGGTTTGTGTTCTGAAAACCAACTACCAGATACATTAAAAGACTTCTAGTTTTAGCTTAGAGATGAACACAAATGGAAAGACATGGCTCCCATACTAAAAACAAACAAACACCCCCCCCCCAAAAAAAAAACACAAAAAAGCCCCAAGGATAGCAAAATAATGGCATGGCATGTATGTGTCTATAAAACCAAGAAAAAAAAAAAAAAAAAAAAAATCACAGAACCTGTGACGGTAAAATCTAGAGAAAAACAAGTGTCTTCAGGGAGATCCAAGCCCCAAGTGTTTGCTTACCAGTCTGGAAAGACAATGTTTAAAAATTAGCAAGTGGTGAGGGGCACTAAGGATGAAGCCACAGGGGCTGTTTTTGCTGAATGTGTTTCTACCAGCAACACTGCCAGGGTCTCACAAAGACAATGCTGCTCTTTCCTCACATCCTTTTAGCAAAGAAAGATGTCTCTGCAAGAGAAAAGCAACCTAAAAGTGGAGCCTATGACCACCAGTAAAGAGCCCTGTAACCCCAGGAAGAAGGCGGTGGGGGCCTCCTCCTCCTAAACCCAAGATTACAGATGCTTCCATTGTTGGGAGAGGGTGGGCAAGAAAAGAAAGAAATTTTCATGGGGCTGGAGGGATGGCTCAGAAATTAAGAGCACTGGCTGTTTTCCCAGAGGACCTAGGAGTGATTCCTCACACCTACATGGCAGCTCACAATTGTCTTCTGACCTCCACAGGCTTGAGCAGGGAAAATACCCACACACATAAAATTAATAAATCTATCTTTTAAAAGAACAGAAAAGAAAAACGTAGAAAGGCCACACTCTGAGACACAAAGCTACTGTACAGTTCAAAAACAGAGGGGCAGGGCAAGAAGGATATGCACTATTCACCCTACACAAAATCCTCCAGGAGACAGGCAAGGCACAAAAAGACCCAAAGCCAGCAAAAGACAAAAGTCACCAAAGGTGTTTTAAGTGTCTGGTACTCAGAGCAACAATAAAAATATAACAGAAATTGTACCAACAGAAACAAAACTTCTGATTACAAATCCCTATTCACTTCAGTATCTCCTGAACTAATATTATGTACAGTTTCAACAGAAAAGCATACAAGATGCCAAGAAGCAAGGAAAAAAAATGTGTGAAGAAAGAAGGCAATCTTTAGAGCCAGACTCAAATATGGCACAGAATGAGAGACTATAAATTTGGGTATTTAAAATAATAATTATTAAAATGTTGTAGACACTGGGGCTGGTGAGGTGACTTGGTGGGTAGGGGTACTTGCTGCCAAGCCTAACTAAGTTCAATCCCCAGATCCTGCATAGTGGAGGGAGAGAGCAGACCTCAGCAACTTGCCCTCTGACCTCCATGAGTATCATGGAATGTGCACGCCCCCTTCCACACAAGCATGCACACATGTGCACACAAACACAATATATATGTATATACAGAAATAAACAAGTTAGCTAACAAACAGTTAATGTTTTTATAAAAAAAAAAAAAAAAAACATACGTAGGGGCTGCAGTTAAGAACACATGCTGATTTTCTAGAGCACCCTGGTTCAACTCCCATTAATCACAATGGCAGATCACTACTACCAATAAATCCAGCTACAGGGATCTGACACTCCTGTGCATATACACATGCACACAATACACAAAATTAAACATATAATAAAATGTAAACATTAAAATGTTAAAGTCAGATAACATGACAAATAAGACAGGTAATGTAAGGGATGGAAACTATAAAAAGACTAACATTTAAGTGCCCCAAATTAAAAAAAGTGAACTAAATTCATAAGAGAAATAAATCTTTTTTCAAATGAGCTTATTGGAGGAATATCTTTTTTAGAAACAATCAGTGAATATGATGATAGCATAACAGAAATAATATGAATTAAAAATGCTGGGATTACAAGTGTGCACCACCATACTTGGCTTATATCCAATTTATTAACCTTTTATGTTTTGAGGTAATAAGGTTTTATGTGTAAGAATCACCAGCACTCATGAGGCTGAGGCAAGAGGATCAACAGTTTAACTTGCCTCAGCCTGGGCTATCTAAAACAAAACAAAACAAAAAAGATATGATTAAATCCTGTGTTAGGAAAGGGACACCATTAATAATGCTGAATAGGCAAAAGAGATGCTTGCAATATATGTATTATAACATCCCGAATATATTATAAACATAAAATGACAAGTAAACAGAAACATAGGCAACAGTTATAAACAGATGATTCTTACTGTGATGTTAAGTTCTGCACTGGTGGGGACTCTGTCTCTTGTTCACTGCTTACCCCAATGCTGAAGACAGCAACTGGCATAGTAAGGTCTGAATAAACACATGCAGAAGAAAGGAGCTCATGGCAGAAGAAAAAGTATATTTACATATTTAAGTCTTCAATATCATTGGGTAATGAGAACAATAAAATACTTTTTTTTCTGGAAGATTGGCAAAAACAAAAAATACTGAGGAAACAGAGGAAAGAGTAAAATTATAAATTGGCAGCCAAGCAGTGGTGGTACATTCCTTAAATCCCATCAGAAGCAGGAGGATCTCTGAGTTAAAAGCCTGGTCTACAGAGTGAGTTCCAGGACAGCAAGAGCTACACAGAGAAACTGTCTCAAAACCACCTCCACAAATATATACACATATATTGGCATAATCTTTTTTTTTTTAAAGGCAAAGTGGTATTATCTATTAAAATTTAAATATTCATATTCACATTCTTCTTCTAAGGGATTTTATTTTTTCTATTATTCATCACAGAGGACTGTGCATATGAGTTTTGAGAAGCATATGCATAATACTAGTTACATTAATCTAACTTATTAATGTAAATTAATAGAAATAAATCTATAAAGCAGATATGAATGAAGCACAGAGGCACTATTTAGTATTTTCTTGCTTTGCTTTGAATCAAAATATTTTATAGGAACATTCAAAAGAAAATGACATTCTTGGTGATCATAGCTGGTAAGCTTCTAGAAGAGGATTGGAATTAGACAAATGGTCTAAGAAATCAGAAAGAGCATAATATGGTGGACCTACCTTAACATAGTCTACTGCCCTTGGAGAAAAATCACAGGCATAGGCAAAGATATTCAAGTCTTCTTCTAAAAGTGGGAATAAACAGTTCCCAACCCCACATCCAGCTTCCAACAAAGTCAATTTTTGACCTTCATACTGAGGAACAAGAACACAAAAGTTACAATACATTACATTTGCATAATGAAGAAACACACTGAGCTAAAAGATTTAGCAATAAAAAAGAGACTTCTCTGAAGGCATGAAGCTGTTAATAAACAGAACTAGTAAGGAAAAGATAATACTGGTACCTCATTTTTAATTACCCAACCTTGGGCAGTTTGGTATTAAGAATAACAACAATGCTGGGCAGTGGTGGCATACGCCTTTAGTTCCAGCACTTGGGAGGCAGAGGCAGGTGTATCTCTGTGAGTTTGATGCCAGCCTGGTCTACAGAGGTAGTTACAGGACAGGCTCCAAAGGTACAGGGAAAACAAAAACAAACAACAAAAACAACCAACCAACTCAAAAACCCCAAACCCAAACCCAACACACACACAAAACTCCTAGCCATTAGTGCAGACACTCTGGGGCTGACTTTCTTCTCAAATTCCAGCTGCTCTTTAGACCCTGTGTTCTATGCTTGGGTAACTTATTTCTACACTCTTGTGCCTTGATTTTTTCCTTCAAATGAGAATGCTAATGGACTTCATAGAGAGCTATGAAGCTTAAATAGAACATATGTAAAAATCTTAGAAAAGGTTTATAGTGAATGGTTCATTAACTACTACCGTTAACTACTATAAATAGCTTCAATCTGTCACTAAAGTTTACTCTGAATATTTACTATTTCTAAGTTTCAAATTGGCTTTAAATAAGTAGAAAACAACACTAAGGGGCTGGAGAGACTGCTCTGTGGTTAAGAGCATGTGCTGCTCTTCCAGAGGACCCAGGTTCCATTGCCTGAATCCACACGGCAAGTCAGAATTGTCTGCCATCCCAGTTCCAGTGGATCTGATGCCTTCTGACCTCCACTGGCACCAGACATGCAAGTGGTGCACAGGCATACACTCAGGCAAAACACTTGGAACACATAAGATAATAAAGTAAATAAATCTAAAAGGAAAGGCCTTAAAAGTTCTCTCCTATTAAACAGCCCAGAAAATGCTGAAATTACTCAAAACTAAACAGAACTCTTCTTAGGTATATTTGATAGGCTTCATACATTTTCTTTAGGACAGTGCAGTCAGTAAAGTGCTTGTCATACAACTACAAGGACCTGAGTTCAAATGGGCACTCACATAAAAAGCTGGGCATGGTGAAGCATGCTTGTCATCCCAGTGCCAAGAAGGCTCCCTGCCATCTAGCCCAAGCTAATCTGTGTGTCCCAAATCCCAGCGACAGACTCTAAACAGTGCCTGACTCTAGACAGTGCCTGAGAAATGACACCCAAGGTTCACAGCTGGAGCACATGATATATGTAATAAAAGATCTCTCTTCTACACATCGCAAATGAGGATAGCTCAGGGCCAGGAGAAACCCCAGCCTACCTCCCTACATGATCTTAGCTCCTCAAACTCTCTGGTGGTCCAGTGTCTGTCTTTGAAAAAATTGGTACTGTTTCTTTTGTAGAAAAGGTCCCAGTTCTTCTGAGCATCTTTTTCCAGTTTTTGCTGTTTAAAATCAGACACCACAGCTCGGTCTCTTTGCAGTTTCTCCTCTTCTTCAGAACTAAGTGTCCTTGCTTGCAGCCCTTTCCTTTGGAAAGCCATTGTAGTTGCTAAACGTTCTCTGCTCTTTGAGCATCTGAACAATCGGTGCTGATCCTGCAGACACCGGATTTTTTCTGGCACATTTTCCCCAGGTGACTCTGTGGCTTCAGCAGCAGCAGTCGATGCTACTCAGGGAAAAGAAATTCTAGTTAGTGATTCTGTTATAACCTGCCCACTCCCCTTCCCACCCTGTTTCTTCTGTTAGCCAGGATCTCGATATGTAAAGGCAGCCTTGAATTCCCTATGGAAGAAGGCCAGGCTGTCCCCAGAACGTATATCCTCCTGCCTCAGCCTTCCAAGTGGCTATACCGACTCACAGAGCTAGAGGTTCCTTTAGAACTTCGAGACTTTGAGTTCTAAAACAGTCCAAGACTCTGGGGGGGGGGGGGCTCCTGACCAGCTCTGTAAGGCGCGGGGGTCAGTTCACCCAACACCCGCCAGATGCTGACTCTACTTAACACCGTGCCGGGGGGCGGGCGGACGGGAGAGGTCACAAAGACCAAGACGGTCTACTGCACAAAGCTCACTGCACTCAGAGACCGGAACTCCCACGTAGCGGACTGCAATTCAAACCCGATGAGCCGAGTATTACAAGGAATAGATTTAGTCGGGGGCAAAGGCACGGCTTCCACGAGTAGGCCGAGAAAACGTGAGAAGGAAAGTCCCATCAACGTTCAGTGCCCGCGGGAAAGGAGACTGGAAACAGCGCCGGCGGCAGCCCGAACTGAAGGCGGGTAGACAGACGGCCGACCGACGAGACGGGCCGCGCCGCGTTCGCTGGCGCCGGAGCTTGTGACCGCAGCCACAACAGGCCACAGCAGCAACCGAGCTGAAACCCTCTAGCCGCAAGCACGGGGCGGACGCGGCGGGAAGGGCGAGCGACGGGTCATCTCTCCCAGGGCCCTCGGGCTCTCCGGCATGTCGAGGGCCGTGGGTGCCGACGCTCACACTCGCGTCCACTCAGCCCCCACGTTCAGCCGGCAGGGCTACCGGCAACGCAGAGGCCGGGGCGCACTCACCTGTGTGCCAAGCCCTCGGGGGAACAAGCTTCCAGCTGAAGTGTAAAGACTGGAAGCCACGCACTCAGCGCCCACCGACTAGAGCTCTCTCGGGGAAGCCTTTCTCCATGGCACTTCCCCCGCTGTTTCCGTTGGGAAGCCGGAAGTCCCGCCCCGACGCCGGAAGCGCAGCGGCCTTGCTTCCTCAGAGTCTCTCTAGACGCCGCGGAGACTGGTTCCCGGCCCCCGGTGGGCGCGGACTTGGCTCAGTGCGTGCTGCGGAGCCGCGTCCCGGGAGTGCGGTCCTGCGGGCCGCTTGCGCGGGAGTCCGGGACTGCGGCCGCGCTAGGAGAGCGCCGATCCGGCTGCTAGGCGGGTGCAAGGCCATGAACGGCACGGCGAACCCGCTGCTTGATCGTGAGGAGCATTGCCTGCGGCTGGGGGAGAGCTTCGAGAAACGGCCGCGGGCCTCCTTCCACACTATTCGCTGTGAGTGAGCGCTCCTCGTGGTTCCCTTCGGCCTCTCTGGCCGCCACGTGCCAGCCCCGAGACCCTCCTGTCCACCCCTCGGCTCTCTAAAGCGTCACGTTCCTTATCTCTCACCCGAGATCCTCTGGGACTTCGATTTGCTCGTTTATTTTCTTATCGCTTCTCTCAAACCAAACCACTGGTTGCTGCCAGCTAGCTATTCTTTTTCCTTACAGTCTCAAATACCAGCCCAGAAGGCTTTTATTTAAAATCCCCCTTCCCAGCCCTTAAGCCACACTTTACTCCTTTGGATCGAGGCCCCTTTTCTTCTCCCTCGTGTTCCCTTTGTCGAATTGTTGTATTCCATCAGGGCTCACTCCTTGAAAAGACTTCTTTGCTACGAGCGTCATTTACTCTGACTACTGTATTCTTTTCCTGGCTTTTCTTTCCTCTGAGGGCTCTTGGTCCCCTCCACAGCGAGGGAGTCTGAATTCTTTGTACCATTCGTAAGGTTTTCTCTTCCTCTTTCTGTGTTTGTTTTGACAATGATTTTGTTGTTGTTTGAGACAGTGTCTTCCTGCAGGCTATGCTGGTCTAGAACTCATCATGTAGCTCAAGCCAGCCCCGAACATGCTCCACGCCTGCCCCTGGCTCTGTAGTGCTGCAATCATTGGCCTGACCCACCATATCTAGCTGACATTCATGTCTTTTGGTCACCTTCACCACCTTAACTTGTGGGCCAGCTCACTTGTGGGTGAACAATAATGTGAGCCTGTCATACGTTAAAGCTTGATCTATGTTTGGAAAACCAAGACAGCTGCTTAAGGAATGTGGAAATAGTCATTATGTTGGGCCTTTTTCTACATGATTATAGACTCTGAGTGGGGTATTTCCACTGTGTGTCCTGGGTAAAGATTTGGCTGACAGAGCATATCCCTCTGTGATTCATAGACTTCTGGTTTCCGGTAGCATTAACAACAGCTAAGACATGCTTTGTCATGGGAGTAAAAGATGTGACTCAACACATAGGAAGGGGGTGTGTTAGATATTAAAGTCCCATCTTTGTGTGGCCACCTGTGTTGTTTCTCTGCCTCCCACTGACAGCAGCTCCAGCTGTTTCAGTGAGACAGTATTGGGGAAGTGATAAGACTATAATTTGTCCCCCCTCCACTGAAGGACACAATGGGTTTTAAGTGAGATTCTGCACATATGCACCTGGCCTGCAGTTTGAGGCAGGTGTGTGTTAATATGAAGTAAAATGGCTCTTCCGATTGTGTGATTTGTAAGAGTAAGCCAGGTCGCTTCTGGAGTTCACCTGTCTGCTTCTGAACATATCTTCAAGTGTACCTTTTTCAAAAATGAAAGAACTTGAGTGTGACAGATTCTGCATTTGAACGTTTCTGTTGAAAACGAAGTCAGCCTTGTGGCCTCCTGTGTCTCATGGACATTTATAGTCAGAATGTTTGCTCTGTTCCTTCTGTGCACACAGTTCTAATTACATTATTATGGATGGTAGAAGTTAACTGCTATCTGTCATTTAGAATAAGGAAATACCTTTCATTAATAAAAGGGTTTATGAGTTTCACCTCTTTACACCAAAATAATAGTGTAGTGGAAGGAAACATAATTAGAGGTGCTCTTGAGTTGGTAATTATTGAATTGGATGAGGGTATTTGGGGCTCATTGTTCTAGCATATATGAAGTTATGTATAAAAGTCTTTTTTTTTAGAATTTTAAATAATGGGGCTGGGGAGTTAGCTGGTTTGTGAATACTTGCCATGAAAATCTGATTTGGATTTCTATAATAAACAGTTGTAATCCCAGTGCTGGGGATATCAAGACAGGAGGATCATTGGCCAACTGACTTTACCTATTCAGTGAGCTCCAGGTCAATGAGAGACCCTGTCTCAATAAACAACACAAGCTGGGCGGTGGTGGCACACACCTTTAATTCTAGTACTCAGGAGTCAGAGGCAGGCAGATCTCTTGAGTTCAAGGCCAGCCTGATCTACAAAGTGAGTTTCAGGACATCCAGGATTACTCAGAGAAACCCTATCTTGAAAAACAAACTAACAAAGACTAACAGTACCTGAGAGACTGTCTAATAAAGTGCTGCAGATACATGTACACATGTACATACGGGGCACACATACATGAAAGAATCCTCAACCATTTTTATTTATGTAAATACAGTTTTTAATTCTGAAATTAAAATGTCCGGGAAGTCCTTACTTTCAGTCATTCAATGGGAAATCTTTGTTTCTTTTAGATGACTTTAAGCCAGCATCAATAGATACTTCCTGTGAAGGGGAGCTCCAGGTTGGCAAAGGAGATGAAGTCACAATTACACTGCCACATATTCCTGTAAGTTGCTTCTATTATTGGTTTAGTGTAACGAATTCTTGAGTTATATTTATAGTTTGAATTTCCATATATATATATATATATATATATATATATATATATATGGCCAGCATATGTAAAATAGGAGTTTAGGGGTTTGGTAGGTGGTAACTCATGTCTCATGGGGCTTGGGTCTTTGTCCTTGTCCCTGAGCCCCTCTCCCTCCAGTGTGCAGTACAGTAGGCAAGTTTCCATCTGGACAGCTGTGCCTCTGCTAGATAGTTTCTCCCAAGCAGTTCTGGATAGAAAGGCCCTATGTGTCATGTGTAGCCATAGCAGCTTCTGAATATTGGGCAGCCAGAAGGCAGGCAGGAGCCAGAGGGACATCTTTATATATGGTCAGGCATCCAGTGCAGGCTGATGGGCCCAGGCAGGAACAAAAAGTTTGGAACATTGCTAATTTAAGGATGAAGAACTCAGTTAAAAGCTGCACCAAGAGGGCTGGAGAGATGGTGGCTCTTCCAGAGTCCCTGAGTTCTATTCCCAGCAACCACATGGTGGCTCACAACCATCTATAATGAGATCTGGCGCCCTCTTCTGGCCTGCAGTCGTACATGCAGGCAGAACACTATATACATAATAAATAAATACATCTTTTTAAAAAAGCTTCACCTAGGACTTGGAAGAAAAGACTTTGTGAAGCTCTCTTCAGGGCAGCATTTTGGGTCTAGAGCTGTTGCTCAGTGGTAGGTTCATTCACAGCACAGCCAAAGGAAAAACAAAAAGAAAACCTAAACTTAAATTTGCATTAATACTTTGACCTGGGGAGATGGCTCAGTGGATAAACTTCACAAATATGAGGACTGGAGTTTCAGTTCTCAGAGAACACGGAAAAGGAAGGAAGCAGGGACAGGCCATCTCTGGGGCAAGCTGGCTAACTAGACTTAGTTGGGTTCAGCAAGAGACCCTGCCTCCACAAAGAAAAATGGAGAGCAATTGAGGAGGATGCCTGCTGTCATCTTCTAGCCTCTAAGTATATATGTGTATACACACACACACACACACACACACACACACACACACACACACACACACACATATCTGCCCGCATACAAGGAAACAAGCCTGCAGGCGCAATACACACACACTCGCAAAACAAAAAGCAAACAAAAAAGTTAAAATAGAGGTTTTTAGCACATTTCACACTCTGTCCTCAGATACAGTGAGCTCTGTGTAATTGGTGACAGCATGAAGAGTCTGGGCAGCAAGGCCTGTCAGCCTTGGAGCTGAGGAAAAACAGTCTGTTCATGCAAACACGTCTTTCATTACATGTTACTTGTGGCGGGTTACATCATCTCCCATTGGACCTTAGTTTCCCAAATGAAAATGAAGGGACTAGGTAAGTGGTCCCTAAGCTGCCTTTCAAACCTTATTTTTTACTGTGAAAATAAGGGGTTGAAGAGCTAAACAATTTTTTTCCTAAGTAAGAAATTCTATATTTGATAAGTATTAAATGAATGTTTAATGTACTAGCCCATTTCTAGGCTCTTAAGAATTTAACTTCAAACAAGTACATTTCTTGCCTTTGTGCAGCTTAGGATCTGGAATTTAAATATGGATGTTATGCTTTCCTGTAATCCCAGCATTTGAGAGGTAGAAGCAAGATGATTGAGAGTAGAAGGCCAGGCTGGGCTATAGGAGACCCTGTCTCAAAACCAAACCCGAACAAATTCTTACTGTAGAAATCCAGAGAATAGTTTCCTAACTCTTTGGATTTAGCAGAAGGTGGAAAAATTTAGACAGGAGTCAAAACATAGCAGTTAAAACATAGTCCAGTTAAAGCCCTGAGGCAGGAGTAAGAGCTTATTTTCTGAAGACAACAGAGCCTCAGAATGGGTGGTGGAGCCAGGGGCCACCTTAAAGATGTTATCCTTTGGCACCAGAGCAACATGGGAGCAGTTGAAAAGGCTTGGGTAGATTATTGGCATGGGGTAGCTTCCGCTCACCAGGTTGGTGGTTTACCATTGGAGAATGTTGGTCTTTTGTATGATGGGGAAGCCCTGAACTCTTTAATTGCAAAGAAATATAGAGATTACTCTCTGTAGTGTAGGGGAACATTAATTGTTCTCAGTTTATGTGTCACTATTCTTTGAAACATTTCCCTACACTGTTAAAAATGTGCCTGGTAATTTAAAAATTTAATGCAATTTATGGTTACCTAAAACTGGATACTTGCTATGTTCTAACTGTTCGTTTCCTTTTACCTTCAGTGCCAGAGGAGTTAAGACAGAGATTGGTCGTTTGTTCTTTCTGAGTAGCTCTGATGAGGGATGGATGAGGCAGTGTACTTTGTAAAGGTGGGCTGTTCATAACTGGTGTGTTTATACTTAACTTTTGTGGCAAGCAGGGGTCCACACCACCAATGACTGTGTTCAAAGGGAACAAGCGGCCTTATCAGAAAGATTGTGTGCTCATTATCAATCATGACACTGGAGAGTATGTGCTGGAGAAGCTCAGCAGCAGCATTCAGGTCAAGAAGACGAGGTATGGCTGATTTGGTTTTCTCCCTTCCACTTGCACTGTGGGGATCAAAGCTAGGGCCTTGTGTGCCGGCAGATGCTCTCCTGAAGGATATTCTTAAATGTCTCTAAGTCTTTGTGGTATTTAGTCCAGTTTTATAAAGTGCAAACATCTGCTTGTTCATAGTGTCCCATCAATAATGTTAGCCACTTCTGTGTCAGACAGAAATGTATATTTCCCTCAGTAAAAAATGCTTTATTTAAGAGCTACAACATGAAGTCATTGGGGAAAAACAAGGTACTTACAATTAAGCCATTTTTGTCAATCTCATAATTGCTCTTATATGGGGAATTTGATTTTTATATAAAAATTACAGAATTACATAACTTTTTATTTATTTATTTTGGTTTTTCAAGACAGGGTTTCTCTGTGGTTTTGGAGGCTGTCCTGGAACTAGCTCTTGTAGACCAGGCTGGTCTTGAACTCAGAGATCTCCCGAGTGCTGGGATTAAAGGCGTGTGCCACCACCACTGCCCAGCATCAATTACATAACTTTATTAGAGTAAATTACTGCTTACAAATTAGGATATACTTGAGGTGACTATACTATCAAAATAAACCCTTGCTGAGTATGGTGGGTCACACTTGTAAGCCTAGCATGTGAGAGTTGGAGGCAGCAGTATCAAGAATTCAAGGCCATCTACAGCTGCATAGTGAGTTTGAGGCTAGTCTTAGTTGCATGAGACCCTGTTTCAAAACAACAGGAAAAAAAAAAAAAAAAAAAAAAAAAAAAAACAGTCTTGCAAGATTGCTCAGTGGGTAAAGATGTTAGCCACCAACTCTGATGACCTGAGTCCAGTCCTCTGGACCCACATGGTAGGAGGCATAGCATAAATAAATAAAAATATGTTAAAAAACTTAAAAATAATAAAAATAAAATATTTCCTATTTTTTTTAAATAGTGATCTTTCTTAATAGTTCATTCAACATTAGAGTTTATCTGAACATCAATTCATAATATAAATACACTGCAATACAGTGTTCATTGTAAGATAGTGATTAAGGTTCTTGTGTGTGGGGGTACTAAGCATCAGATCCAGCACTTTGCACATGGTAGGTATAAGTGTTCTTACCGCTGAGCTAAATCACAAGTCTGTTAATTAAATTTTAAGAGACTATTACAACCTGATGTCTGTTTATGCCTCCTCGAGCTATTTTTTTTTCTTTTACTCATTTCACTAGAAAAGGAAAAGCTCCCATTCACTGAGGTTATCATGGGCCAGTATGCTGGATATTTTAGATGTAGTAACTAATCTTTACCAGTAATTTTTAGAGGCAATTTCTTTGAGGCAGGGGTTGTGGTTTACACAGTTTGACTGCTAGAGCCGAGACACCACCATAGGCAGTGTGCACAGTGCCTGCTTCTGTTCCATCCTTTTGTTTTGTGTCAGGGCCTAAGGTGAACCTGATGCCCCTATGGTACCAATGGTGCTCTATTCCCATTCTACTCTGTGATCTGGGTGGGAACCAGCAGCATGTGTCTTGGGTACTCGAGGAATATCAGGACCTACTAGGTCAGAACCTGCCGAGAAACTTCAAGGGGATTTGTGCAGATGCTGAAGTTAAGCACTAGGCTAGTCCATTTGCAGAAGAAACTATTACTGTTTTTTTTTTTTTTAGTTTACATATACCTTTTATTGGTTATTGAACCATATAACTTCTTCCATTTTCTCATTTTTGAGCATTTTGATTTATTTTATTTTGTTTTTATTCTTCTCTCATACAATACATCCCAACTGCAGCCTATACCCCCATCCACTGTTCCTCCATTTCCCTTCAGAAAAGAGCAGGCCTCCCAGTAATATTTACAGAACACAGCATAACAACATGCAGTAAGACCCTCATAATCAAAGATAGATGAGGCAACTCAGCAGGAGGAAAAGATCCCAAGAGCAGGCAAAAAGAGTTGGAGACACCCTACTCCCACTCTTAGAGATCCCACATACATCTCAAGCTCCCACGAACAACTGCTTCATGTGTACAGAGGAGTAGGAAAAATTATTAGTGCATAAAATTTTCTCACTTGGAGGTAGAAAATAATGTAAAAACTTGCAAGCTGCCAGTATTTCAAAATCCAGTTTATTCAGAAACTTCTATATTTATTTTTATAACTGTATATTGAATTTAAGTCATATTGTGATATTTTCTTGGAAACACATTTAATCACATTGTGTCTGTGTTTTATCTCCTTGCTGAGTTTTTAGTGGATGTAGCACATCTGTAATCTTAGCTCTTGGAAGGCTGAGGCTGTCCCAGAGTACAAGCTAGACCCTGACTCAGGAAAAAAAAAAAGTTCACTCCTTGGAAACAGAGGGTCATTTCATTGTCTCTGTATTGCTGATGCATAGTAGAATGCTGGGATGCAGTAGACACATGGTTGTTGTGTTCTCATGGTGAAATTATGAAGATCAGATTTTGCAGTCACTTGGAAAGAATACTGAGTTCTGCAGATGCTGCCTGTGTGCTTGGTCATTTTGAAGAGATACTATTTTGCCTCTTGATTTAATGCCTATTTCAGAGCCGAGGGGAGCAGTAAAATCCAAGCCCGAATGGAACAGCAGCCTACTCGCCCCCCACAGCCATCACAGCCACCACCTCCTCCACCACCCATGCCATTCCGAGCCCCAACGAAGCCTCCAGCTGGACCCAAAACTTCTCCTCTGAAGGATAACCCTTCACCTGAGCCCCAGTTGGATGACATCAAAAGAGGTAGAGAGCTGGGCTGGCGCATAGGCAGGCACTGGGTTCTTGGGAAGCTCACAAAACTTGCTATCTTACAGATCTGTCACCAGAGCTCCAGGCTCTAGAGCTGCTGAGGGCTGACACTTTATCACATATGGCATTTGACAAGAATGAGTCCAGCTTGGGTGGGATTGTCTTGGAAGTATTTTTAGAGGCTTAGGGTTTAAATAAGCATCACAGGGCTTTAGACTCCCAGAAAGAGTATTCTTGGTGTGTAAATTCTGAGCTCCCCTACTGATTAATGAATGCAAATACAAGTGCTTTATTAAGGGAATTCTTAAGATGCCAAGGTTAGATGCTCTTTGCTGTCCCAGAGCATGTAATCCTGAAAGGCCCTGAGGCCACTGGGGATGGAATCTGACCCAGAAGGACTTAGAGGTCTGGCTTGATCCTTTCCTTTACTGACTTAAGACAAGTTTACCCTGGTCTTCATCCCACACAGTAGAGGGTGTTGGCCCTCCAGACTCTCAGGCATTATGGGGCCGAGTATCATATTTCACATTTATAAGTTTTGTGGGACAAATGCGGCCCCTAATAGTAGAGAACAGGAGGAGTTGAAGGCTTTCTGGGAGTTTGCCTTCTTTATCCTGTAGAAATAGTGCCTTCTCAGAAACCCAGTCACCCCGAGTTTCACACAGCTGCCATACCTCTTGATTATTTTCCCTCTTGGATTCTAGAATGGAACAGGAATTTGGCCATGAGTGGCCAGTTGTTGCCAGTTGCACTTAAAGGAGTCATAGCCACGTAAGGCCCTGGTGATGTTTGGACAGAAAAAAAAAAATCTACCAGTTGTCTTCATGTGACCAGGGACAGTGGATTGGTTAGGGAAAACATGTTTTTCTACTTTACATCCATGAAGAATGCAGAACCTGACAAGCATAGCCATGATCGAATGTGAGAGTCAAAAGTGATGACATTTCACCATTTGGCCTCCTTTGCCAGGGTTTGTCTTATAGGCTTCCATGGGAGTCAGAAAGGACTCAGGCTCACACAGGCTGTCTAGCTGTCTTTTTCCTTGGTAGCTTAGGAAATCCATTGATGTTGACCTCACTACTGGTCATGGTCAGCTTGTCAGAATCTGAAATCGCCTAGGGACAAGCCTCTGGGCACTCCTCTGAGGGGTTATGTAGCCTGTGGGCATGGCTCTGAGGGACTGTCTAATTAGATTGAGATAGGATGTCCCACACGAGTGTGCAGCACCTTTGGGTTTGGGCCATTGACTGTATGAGGAGGAGGTGAGCAAGCACAGGCTTCTGATGCTCTCTGTGAGTGACTGTGGGTACAGAGTGCCTCAGTGCCTCAGTCTCCTCACTGTGACTTCACTGACAGGCTGTCCCTGGGACTGGGAGACTTGCAATTGCTCAATAAATGTTTTTGTATTCTTTTCTCTTATTTGGGGTTTTATACAGTAACTCCCATTTGTTTGCTTGTTTGTGTCAAGGTCTCACTCTGCAACCCAGGCTGGTCCTGAACTCAAGACCTTCCTAACTCCACTGCCCAAGGGCTGAGGTTATAGGCACACACCACACCCACATCAGACTATTTATTTATGGAAATAATAACCCTGATATGTCTTACACAGGAGAGTCATTCTGAAACATTGAGTGTTCCCATTAGCCCCAAGATGGAGTAGGTATCTTTGTCAGTTTGGGAGCCCATTTGTCATACTCAAGAAACAGAAGATGGAAGTCCCTCACCGCAGTTGGTTTTGTCGGCTACTGTTCATAGACGCTTCCCCTCATTTCAGGATAGTGACCGTGCTGGCTGTGCCCTGTTGTGTCTTTGCAGAGCTTCGGGCTGAGGTTGACATTATTGAGCAGATGAGCAGCAGCAGTGGGAGCAGCTCCTCTGACTCTGACAGCTCTTCCGCAAGTGATGATGACAGTGCCAGCAGCGGAGGAGAGGACGATGGCCCTGCCCCTCCTCCCCAGCCCTCACACCAGCGGTCCTACAACAGTGGGCCTGCAGTGGCCAATGGGTCCAGCCGGCCCCAAGGAAGCTCTCAGCTCATGAATACACTCAGTAAGTGTGTCCTTTGGTAGCTGAGACAGGGCAGGCCGTATGCAGCCTATGTTGTCTTGTGTTGGAACCTATCAACTACAGGCATTTAGGGCACAGGAAAGGGTCTTGACAAGGACAAATTGGTTTTTTTCTTTCTTTTTCTCCCCTTACTTGTGGCTGAGACTTCTGCAAAATGCTAAAACTTGATTGTAGACTTTCTGGTTTTCCATACACCAGATTTAAGACATGGCCCACCTACAGCTGGCTTTCAAAAGTTAACCTATTACTGCTATTTGGACACCTAGCCTTTGGCAAGAGAAAAGACAGGATGTTGTCATGTTTGGGTAGCTTTTTTCTACAGTTGATAAGGTAACACAGAGGAAAACCAGAATAAAATTGGCTTTGTTTCAGAGAGGGGTGATTCTGTGCCCCCCGAACCTTGCATGGTGAACAGTCTCTCTCCTAGTCATCTTCCCTTGAGGAAATTGGAAGGCCTGCCAGGGGAGGTGGGATGCAGACCTGGTTAGCCCTGCAGTGTGTCCAAGCAGACATTATTATTAGTCTCAATGCTGTGGACATTCCAGGCTGCATAGTTCCTTTTTGCAGGGCTGTGCTGTGACTTGTTGGGTATATAACAGCATGTCTGACCTCTATCCACTTATGCCATCCCTTCATCTGCCAACCAGAGCATCTCAGCATTTACCTGGTATGCCTTGTCATCTGTATAAGTCAAGGTCCAGGTAAGAAGTATGCTCTCACACAGTCAGAAAAGGAAGTCCTCAGGGATGGGACTGGGTCCTCTTGAGAGGGTTCCAGGGACAGAGAACAGCTGGTCTAAATGTAAGAAATATGAACGTTCACTTTCATCCAACTGCTATTAGCTGAGTTTCTTTTATACACATTCTAAGAATCTGGAGCTTTCTATTAAAGTAATATAAATATCCTGGAGAGAGATGGGCAGAGGAGACACTGGATTAACATGCTTAAAGTTAATGGAAACTTTTTGTTTACTTAGTTTTTTTGTAAGGGTGGGGTTTGGGGGAGGTTGAATTTATGATCTTCTTGCCTCAGCTTCCTTAGTGCTGGGTTATAGGCATAAGCCACCTGGCTCTATTTAATTTTTTTCTAAAACAATTTCATGAAGCTGCAGAGATGGCTTAGGGGTTAAGAGCACTTGTTCTTACAGACGAGCTGGGTTCAATTCCTAGCACACACGTGGCAGCTCACAACCACCTATAAGTCCATTTCCAGGGGATCCAATGCCCTCTTCTGACTTCCAAGGGTACCAGGCACCCGCATGGTATATAGACATGCATGTAGACCAAATACTTATATACGTAAAATAAACAGTTATAAAGCACCTTAATGTGAATGAGTAGGCAAGTGCTGTGTTATTTCTATTTTTTTAGCACATAAAAACTTACTGCTCCTCCTCAGGACTAATAAGCAGCACCAAATTGTGCTTTGCATATGTTAAAAGTAATGTTTCTTTCAAAATGTTGACTGCACCAGTCTTTTCAGTAAACCAAATTGGTTTTCCCGCCTAATAAGTTTATTAGCAAAGGTTTTCTGGTTTTTATTTTGTTTCGTTTTTAAATTAGATATATTCTTTTTATTTTGTGTATGTGTTTTGCCTTCCTCTATGTATTATGCCTCATGCATATTTGATGCCTAAGTCAGTCAGAGAGGGCATCAGATTCCCTGGAAACTGGAGTTATAGGAGTCACCATTTGGGAGTCAGGAATCTAACCTGGGTCCTCTACAAGAGCAACAAATGCTCTTTTTTTTTTTTTTTTAAGGTTTTACTCGATCCCAGTTCCCTCTCCCTCCCTGCCATACTTCCCAGCCCCCCTCCCATCTCATCCTCCCCCCCCCCCCACTCCACAGGGAGGGTGATACCTTCCAGGAGGGATCATCAAAATCTGTCAAGTCATTTGGAGTAGGGACTAGGCCTTCCCTCCCGCCTCTAGGTTAAGGGAGTATCCCTCCATGGGGAATGTGCTCCCAAAGTCCATTTGTGCACCAGGGATACATCCTGGTTCCACTGTCAGAGGTCCCTTAGACTGCCCAGGCCTTCTAACTGAGACATACATTCAGGGAGTCTGAGTCCGTCCAATGCTGGTTTCCCTGCTATCAGTCTGGGGGTCCATGAGCTCCCCCCCCCCCTTGTTTAGGTCAGCTGTCTGTGGAGTTTTCCAGCCTGGTCTTAACCCCCTTTGCTCATCACTCCTCCCTCTCTGCAGCTGGATTCCAGGAGTTCGGCTCAGTGTTTAGCTATGGGTGTCTGTTTCTGTTTCCATCATCTACTAGATGAGGGCTCTATGATGGCATATATATAAGTTATTCATCAATGTCATTATCAGGGAAGGGCATTTAAGGTAGCCTTTCCACACAACAAGTGCTCTTAACAGTTGAACCATCTCTCCAGCCCCAATTAGGAAGCTTTTAGTGTGATGTGATAGGTGAACAGCCAGCCAAAGAATTTTAAATAAGTCTTGATGTTTTAAGTGAAGGCAAAATATAAGTGTATTAAAGGACAAAGAACTGCTCTGTAGGTAGAGCAGAGGAGCCAAGGGAGTCATAAACTACTGTGCTCTCAGCTTCATTTTCTTTTCTTTTTTTGTAGGAAATGATTTGCAGTTAAGTGAGTCTGGCAGTGACAGTGATGACTAGCACCAGGCTTTTGAAATCGTCTTTCTGGTATGCAGACATGCTGCAAGACTCAGCAACTTCTGCCAGGACTCCACACCACAGGAGGATGTTGCAAAGCAGAGCCTGTAGGAGGAGTTAAGGCCTGGAAGCATGCAGATACTCAGTCTTTAACTTGGTGGTGATGGGTGGTTTTCTCACATAATTCTTGAACAATCTATTGTTTCAGAGTTTAAGTAGATCTATAGGAGAACTAACGGAATTCTGTTTCCATGTGGTTAACATTACTAATGAAAAACTGACCAATGTACCTTGGTCTAGGGCATTCAAAGCCCATGTCTTCACCAGGCCAGTAATTCAGCAGTCATCGGTTTGGCCAGGCGATCTGTACCAGTAAAATAAAAGTCTTTGAGGGTTATGGAAAGAAAAAAGAGATCCTCAAACTATATCATAGAAATACATTAAGACCACTTTACACTGTTGGCATGAAGTGGTAAGGAAGTTTTGTTCTGATCCCAGTTGACAAGACCATAGAAGTAGACCTTGACAGAGTCTTTGGGTCAATTAGTTGTGTGTGTGTGTGTGTGTGTGTGTGTGTGTGTGTGTGTGTGTTGGAAATCTAGTAGCTCAGCTCAGTGCAGCTAAGAAAGGGAAGCACACAGCAAGGGATGGCCAGTCACCTGTCCCTGGTGCAAGCTTTTGCTCACTACTTCTTTGAATTACATTTGCTGGCATCAGATATTTCTGCATGGAACTTTCTGTCAGATTCCAAAAGAAAAAGCATTGCTGGTGTTCAACTTGGATTCAGACTTAGGCATTTCTTGTGTCCATGGGGTAGAGTGAGCAGGTTAAAGCAGCAGTTGCCATGCTGACACATAATCCTCAGCCCATATGAGGCTTTTGGGTTCATGTGGATCCATCCCTAGGTGTTCTTCATTCCATGGGTGTTAGCAGAGGTTAGGAATCAAAAGGGGATGTGATGAAGAAACCTCTGAGCGGATGAAGCAGGAGAAAGCCTCCATAGATGAGAATGGATGCAGAATGGAGTTGTGCAGTGTGGGACATTCTTCATGAACTCTGCAGGTGTGGGACATTCTTCATGAGCTCTGTTTATGCTTTTGTGCACTGTTTGTGCCTGACTCCCAGACTGATTGGTATTTTTATAGAGGAGAATCACAACATTGCCTTTTGTAGTGTGCTGTTTCCAAATGACTGTTCCTGCTGGAACATGGTCACTAGTCAATGTTCCACATTGAGGAAGTGTGTGGTGACTTGTATGTTGCTGCCCATCTCTGTAGTTAGAATGAATATATCCTAGGAAATTCCTGTCTTTGCTTTAAGGTATTAATAATGCTTTCCTTGGGTTCCTCTGCTCACATACCTTTTCTCCTGAGCTAGTGGAGGGAGGTGGTCTGGACCTAGAAGGGAAATGGATGGTCCATGGTAGGGGTTTAGGTTAGAGTTGTATCATATAGGTCAACTATTTGATCCACACAGAGATTAAAGTGAGCCGAGACTGGGCAGAAGCCATTGCCCAGCATCACATCTACACCACTCTGCCCAAGTACAGGTGGAGAGTGTGCACTGGGACCTTGTGCTGGGGTCTCAGCCCATTGGGAATCTCCGATGGCAGGTGAGAATCTCTATAGCAAACTGACAATTGCTTTATAATTCTCTGGTTATGACAGCTCAGGGAAGGTGAAAGTCATGATTGGGTGATTTGAATTGTCCCTGGATGTGGGAATTGAATTGTCTTACTGCTTTTAACTTGCTCACCCTGGGGCAGGTTCCAGAAACTTGAACTAAAAATGCCTATTCAAGTCTCCCCTTGCCCCACTTTTCTCCACAAAGCCTTGGTTTGTGTAGACAGAACTGTGGTGTTGGCGTGCTGATCAGTGACTGTTTCTATAGGAAGTACTTGCATGTGGCAATGGGCTTGAAAGTTTAGCCTTCTGAGCCCCAGGCTCCTGTCACTGGCCTACCTAGCACCATATTCTTTTGTTGGCGCCAGTTTTGCTCTCTCACAAATCCTTCAGTGGTCCTATCTCCTTTCCCCACTACAGTAAGAAAGCCATTTTTGAAAATCCAGAATGTAGCCTCCTGCATGATGATGACAATGATGACTTCTCAGGGGTATCATTGTGCCAACCAAGTGACTTCCTTCCTGTCTCTGTGCCTTTGCTGTCCCCTCTTCTGCACTCACTCAACCTTCTCCAGAGCTTCTCAGGTACCACTTTCACCAACTCTTCATTTCTTCCTATGGGGTGTGCCCTGGTGTGCATACAGACTGCCTTTCTCCTACCTGGTCTCTGGTTGGTATGAGCGCCTCAAAAGCAGGGACTGTCATCACAGAACTAGATATGCACATACTCCTAGCCTGGTGGAGAAGAGGCTAAGACAACTAGTTAAAGACTGAGGATAAACATAGGGGAAACATTCCAGGCATTGAGACAATGCTGAAATTACCCATGTAAGTCCCTACTGAATTCTTAAATTACCTTTTATTTGCTCTATGCAATGTTGGCCATTTGGGTAGGGTGGGGAAACTAGTTCTACAGAGACACCATGGCAATCCTTTAAAAAATGTTGGGAAAATGCAATACACATAGACTAGAGATTTGTAATAATGCAACTGGTTATTCTATTTCTGTAGCAGAATAATTTTCTCTATGGGTGGTTTGCTGCAGTAATAGGGAAACTTGAAAATTCCAAAGTCTTTCCTTCCCTTTTTTAAGCTTGTGTGTGTGAGTGAATGTCATATTTATTACATTATTTTGAAAGAGAATTATTTGTCTATTTGTAGATATGTCTTAAGAATAGCCAAAGTGGATCTTTCCATTTGGCAAGGAACATAGACTTTCTAAGACTCAGGCCTTAACCAGTAGCTTGGAAGACCAACTCAAGTGTTAGGAAATGTGTATTTTTGTTGCCTCTGTTGTTTCAGTTTTAGATCCGTTGGACCCTTTAATAATATTTAAAATCTTGTGCCTAAAAATTCATTTTGCTTAATTCTGATGTAGACATTGCATGTTTACATTTATATTTGCTGTATAGTCTCTTTCAAGATGAATATATTTAAATAAAAATGAAGGTCAGCAATATATTTAATGTCTTCAGTTTTGTTTTTGTTATTTTCTTAACCGAAAAAATCTGTGTAAAATAGGGCTTTTTAAGAATCCTTTAGGCTGGGTGGTAGTGGTGCACGACTTTAGTCCCAGTATTCAGGAGGCAGGCAGAGGCTTGATCTACAGAGGCAGTTCTAAGATAGCCTGAGCAACACAGGGAAACCCATCTCCAACAAATAAATAAAGAAATAAATACAAACAAGCAACAACAAAAGAATTTATGTTTAAGTCTAACAGATTAACTTGATTCCTTTTCAGTTTTGTGTCATGGAGTTCACTTTTTAAGAAGGTCTAACATTCAGAACTTCTGGTTTTAAGAAGGTATGAAGGTCAGGAGGCTAGAGAGATGGCTCAGCCAGAGTACTGGCTGAGGCTGGGCACACACATTTAATCCCAGCATTTGAGAGGCAGGGATCAGCCTGGTCTACAGAGCAAGTTCCAGAACAGGCTCCAAAGCTACAGGAAAACCCCGTTTTGAAAAACCAAATCTGAAAAAGAAAGGGGGGGGGGAATCATTGGCTGTGAGTACTATATTGAATAGATATGTAAAAGATATGTAAAGAGTGGACAGCCTTGTCTTGTTCCTGATTTTAGTGGAACCATTGAGTTTCCATTTAGTTTCATGTTGGCTGTTGGTGTGTTGTATATGGCCTTTATTATGTTTAGGTATGTTCCTTGTATCCCTGTTCTCTCCAAGACATTTATCATGAAAGCGTATTGAATTTTTTTGCATTTAAACCGCATGAGATGATCATGTGATTATTTTTTATGTATCTTTTTAAAAATAAATTTTTATATATATTTATTATTTTTTCTTATTTTACATATTGATCCAGTTCCCCCTCTCTCCCTCCCATGCCCCTGACCCCCTCCTATTCCATCCCCCCACTCCTACTCCACAAGGAGGATGATGCCTTCCAGGAGGAATCATCAAAATCTGTCAAGTTGTTTGGAGTAGGGACTAGGTCCTCCCTCCTGCCTCTAGGCTAAGAGAGTATCCCTCCATGGGAACGTGCTCCCAAAGTCCATTTGTGCACCAGGGATACATCCTGGTTCACTGTCTTAGGTCCTTTAGAGTACGGAGGCCTTCTAACTGAGACCCACGTTCAGAGGGTCTGAGTCAGTATAATGCTGGTTTCCCTGCTATCAGTCTGGGGGTCCATGAGCTCCCCCTTGTTCAGGTCAGCTTTCTCTTTGGGTTTCTGTAGCCTGGTCTTGACCCCTTTTCTTATCACTCCTCCCTCTCTGCAACTGGATTCCAGGAGTTCGGCTCAGTGTTTAGCTGTGGGTGTCTGTTTCTGTTTCCGTCATCTATTAGATGAGGGCTCTATGATGGCATATAGTTAGCTATCAATCTCATTATCAGGGAAGGGCATATAAGCCTTCCCAAAAAGCCCAGGGTCAGATGGCTTCAGTGCAAAATTCTACCAGAAATTCAAAGAACTAATACCCAATACTCTCAAATTATTTCACACAATAGAAGCAGAAGGTTCATTATCAAACTTTTTTTTTTTTTTTACGAGGCTACAATTGCCTTGGTACCCAAGTCACACAAAGACACAACTAAGAAAGAGAACTACAGACTAATATCCCTCATGAATTTTGATGCAGAAATACTCAATAAAATACTGGCAAATCTAATCCAACAGCACATCAGAGAAATCATCCAGCATGACCAAGTAGGCACTAATATCCCTCATGAATATTGATGCAGAAATACTCAATAAAATACTGGCAAATCTAATCCAACAGCACATCAGAGAAATCATCCAGCATGACCAAGTAGGCTTCATCCCAGGGATGCAGGGATGGTTCAACATACGAAAATCTATTCATGTGATCCACCATATAAACAAACTGAAAAAGAAAAACTATATGATCATCTCACTAGATGCTGAAAAAGCCTTTGACAAAATCCAACACCCTTTCATGATAAAGGTCTTGGATAGATCAGGGATAACATGAACATACTTAACATAATAAAAACAATATACAGTAAACCAACAGCCAACATCAAACTGAATGGAGAGAAGCTTAAGGTGATTCCTCTAAGATCAGCAATAAGACAAAGCTGCCCATGCTCTATATCTCTTCAATGTTGTACTTGAAGTTCTAGCTAAAGCAATAAGACAAGAGATCAAGGGGATCCAAATTGGAAAGGAAGAAGTCAAACTGTCACTATTTGCAGATGATATTGTAGTTTACATAAGTGACCTGAAAAACTACCGGGGAACTACAGCTGATAAACACCTTCAGCAAACTAGCAGGATACAAGATAAACTAAAAAAAAAAAATCAGTAGCCCTACTTTATTCAGATGACAAAGGGGTTGAGAAAGAAATCAGAGAAACATCACCCTTTACAATAGCCACAAACAACATAAAGTATCTTGGGGTAACACTTACTAAACAAGTGAAAGACCTATATAATAAGAACTTTGTGCCTTTCAAGAATGAATTAAAGAAGATACCAGAAAATGGAAAGATCTCCCATGCTCTTGGATAGGTAGGATAAACACAGAAAAAATGGCAATCTTGCCAAAAGCAATCTTCAATGTAATCCCCATCAAAATCCCACCACAATAATTCACTGACCCTGAAAGGATAATTACTCAAATTTATATGGAAAAACAAAAGACCCAGGATAGCCAAAACAACACTGGACATGGGACATGCAATGTGCCTTGGATGATTAGGGCCTAGATGTTGACCTCCGGTGGGGAGGGCAAGGCTTTAATGGTGGCAGATGCAGTGCTGGATGGTTTGATGTGTGGAGAGGCTGACCCCAAGTCTCTGGGGTTTCAGTGTGTGAGGATGGGTGTGTATGATGTGCTGAGGGTGATTAGGGAGGGCCTCCTGTAAACTTCTTATATCTTTATATGCATGTTCTTATTTATATTGGGAAAGTTTTCTTCTATGATTTTGTTGAAGATATTTTCTGTGTCTCTGAGTTGGGATTATTCTCCTTTTTCTACCCCGCTATTCTTAGGTTTGGTCTTTTCATGGTATCCCAGATTTCTTGATAATTTTTTGGATTTAACACTTTCTTTGTTGAATTTATTTCCTCTATTGCATCTTCAGTGCCCAGGACTTTCTCTTCCAACTCTTGTATTCTGTTGGTGATGATTGCTTCTGTAGTTTCTATTTGCTTAGACAGATTTTTGTATTTCCAAAATTACCTTAGTTTGTGTTTTCTTTATTGCTACTATTTCAATTTTCAAGTCTTGAACTGTTTTCTTCACCTGTATAATTGATTTTTTTTCTTGTCTTTAAGGGACTTAGTGATTTCTTCCAATTTTTTTTTTTCCTTGATTTCTTCAAGGGAATTTTTCATTTCCTCTAAGGGAATATAGCTCCTTCATAAAGTTGTTTTTAAGATTGTTTTCTTATGCTTGAATTGCATAGGAATGTTCAGTTCTTGTTGTTGTAGGATCACTGGGTTCTGGTGGTGCCATATTGCCCACCTGAATTGAATGTAGTCTTACACTGGCATTTACCCATCTGAGCTTGGGATGATTATAGGTTTGGGTGTTGATTCTTGTGTTGTCTTTGTTGGATGGATGTTTTATTTATTTATTATCTGTTTCCTTTATTGTCTTGTGGATTTAGTGGCTAAGGGTTCTGATGATTGGAAGGTTTCCATGTCCAGTAGGGTTGTCTCAGGTAAGATTTGTAGGGGTTTGGGTGCCTAGATCCAGCATATCCTCTGTTCTGACTGATGTTGGTTGTGCCTGTGCCTGTGGGGTCTGCAGGAGTAGCCCGGGAGGGCTAGCCATGAGAAGGATGAGGTAGGTGGGTGTCTTAGGGTTTTTTATTGCAAGAGACACCATCACCACAGCAACTATTATAAAGTAAACATTTAATTGGGGTGGCTTGTTTAAAGTTTCAGAGGTTCAGTCCATTATCATCATCATGAAGAACAAAGGAGTAGGGAGAATAAAGGCTGTTTCTGCATAAGTGATTGACTAGTCTAAAGAATGTCATCTAAGCCCAGCTCTACCCCAGCCTGGATCTGTTCACAAATGTCTCTTATAGTCTCCCGAACTCAGATGGGTCACACTATTGATCCTATACAACACTGACACATGAAACTAGAGGGATTCCAGTATCCTTGGGAGAATAGACATTGCACAAGCCACACCACCAACTCACCCAGGTGTCTTCAGTAAGTCTGACTCCATGGGCTTTCTCTTCTCTCACACACAACCTACCAAATGACATTCATACTGGTGACAACATCCACTTACCTTACCAAATCACATTCACACTGGTGACTGTACCAATTTACCTTGGCTTATATCAGCAGAGCACAAGGTATTTATATGCATGTCCTACATTCATATAGGTACCTTCTAGTGGTTAGAAAATATGTGTGAATTAAATGGTGTCTTCTCCCCACAAGAAAAATTGAATGTTTTGTAATTTTGTTAATGTTTAAAATACTTTTAAACCTATTGATAATGTTGGAAGGGTAACAGAGGCCAGATGATTTGAAGAATGAATGTGGTGATGCAAAGCTAGCCATAGAGGCCAAATACTGGTGCTATACACCTTTCATCCCATCAGCCATACTAGTTAGCCATAGAAGCTAGGCGGTGGTGGTGCAACCTTTAATTCCACCACTGGAGAGGAATATAAGAAAGGAGCTCAGGGTCTCATCCAGAATTTAGACTGCAGTCTATCTATCTTGGTTTAATAAGGATCAGGAGAAACAAATAGGTTGAAAAGATGTTTATTCAGGGAGAAATAACTTACAACATAGACAGATGAACACCAGCAAGCTCCTGGTCCTAAGGATGCCTCCAGATGCTCTCCTGTCCCTGTGCTGCAAGCAAGAGAGCTCTCCCAGGCTTCTCCGCAGACCTAGTTCCCCCAGGTAACTTCTGTCCCTGTCTCCACCCCCAATGGGCATGGTCAGTGCCACAGATGCAGACAAAGTGAATATCTCACTACAATTCCCCTTTTAGTCTAAAGAAAAGA